TGCCTAATCATCTATTTTTATGATTAAACTGTGATTTAGTCGAGGTAAACTCTGGTTTGAGTGACATGTCACGGTTGACAAACATAATGTGATCTCCTTGACACATTTAGTTAATGCACACCCTAAATACGCTGACCACACAGATATTTTTCTCATCAGCTGGCAGGAAATGTTTCGAGGTGGGCGGGGCCAGATTCCAAAAGATGGTGTTTAAAACAAGATTTTATTTCCTGAATCGATGCCAAAAAGCACGACTGAATAAACGTCTGTACTTTTGTTCCAGCTAGCTGGTGTTGTATGATTTTCTTACACATGACATTCAAGTCTATTTGGTATTTATTGTCTTGTCTTCAACACGCAATGGAGTAACTGAACACGCTTTCTTTTCAAGTTGATTTTACACTTGCACACGTTTAGTCTGTCTAACGTCTGAAAAATTAAACACTTCACCCATCACCTTCATGGAYAAGTTTTTAGCTTCAACTGTAGAGTCTATTGAAATTCCTGTGCCGTGCTGCCGATCCAAACCTGATTATGCTTTCACACACATTCAAGCTGTCTTTCCTATGATGAAGAGAAGGAGCCAAGCAACAACTAAGAGGGTKTAGGTTCTTCATATTTCCTAAGATCAGACAGTTTAAGCTTATTCAAGAGCTGGGTCCGTACACCAACCACTTTTAGGTCACTTTCATACTGAGTAGGAAGCAATTTACCAGCCTCTTGGTTTGTCCTCTGAGACTATAAAAATAATAAGCAACCACAGGCTTTCAAACACTCAAATTCAACCTCAAAGTGACTGGCTTACAGTGATTGGTGTACAAGGACAAAAAATGTACCTCTCAAGGTTCACTCTGGACTAATCGAGGTGTTATCTTATAGAGCACTGCTCTTATTAAGTTTCAACTGTTTAGTTTCTGTGCTGCATGAATGACCCAACTGATCTGTTTGACCATTACCCTAACAAACATGAGTGGTTTCATAAGTGAAGCAAAGATAGTGAAGAGTGCTAAACTAACTAGGTAAGTTGCTAAAACAGCCCGGCTTAACGCTACAACTAAAAGGAACTCAAATCCGGAAAGATCCCACCAAAGAAAACCCAATTTATTAGGGGTGCAACAATACATGTACCTGTATCGAACAGTGCTTTAGGTTCAAAACACACTTGTATCGAACAATACAGATTTTTAAAATCTACTTTATCAACTTGTCTTCTGAAGATGCTCTGTGTTAAAGGATCAGTAGATCTGTGTTCTACTACTCCACCTAGCTGCATTTTGAGCGCTGATCCACTGAAAAACTTG